AGAGAGAGAGAGAGAGAGAGAGAGAGAGAGAGAGAGAGAGAGAGAGAGAGAGAGAGAGAGAGAGTTAGCAATTTGTAGTACTTTTCGCAATGCCCAAGCCTATACACATTGTTTCACCTCGATGATACGTTGCGTAATACCCATACTTATATTGGCGAGGTTCCCTGAGTTAGCGAGTTGCAGCAATTTGCGTAATACCCAGACCTATAGACATTCCGAGTTCTGATATGTTGTGTAACACCCATACCTCTATTTCTGAGGTTCCCTTAGTCTCTCTTTCTCTTTCTCTCTCTCTCTCTCTTGAAAATGTCACTCGTAGTGTATACGATAAATGTATTTTCAAAACAAAATATTTATTTTTGATATATATATATATATATATGATATATATATATATATATATATGTGTGTGTGTGTGTATGTCGCCGTTGGGGCCGGGCCAAACAAACAACCGCAACAAAGAAAAGAAAAACGAACAAGCATCACAAAAAATTCGCCATTATATCTCTTATCACAACAACCGAAAGTGCAACCATGTCGTGCATCAACATTATGGAAAACGATATAAACATCCTAATGACTGACAACTGATAGGCAGAGAAAGTCAATCGCTATGCAGCTCTGTATTGTCACCCTCCGAATCCCAGATCGATGCATGTCCCGTATCATGACCTGCAATCACAATATCCTCGAACTCATCGTCCACAATGAAAATGTTGTTGTCCCCTACGACATCGTGGTCCGAACCAGAGTCGGCATCATCTGCGACATCAACACGCAGATCTCTATCTCCGACAAAGAGATTGCGCGACAATGGAAGCGGCGATGACCCGGGCCCGCCTCCATAAGGACGTTCCTCGTTCTGTAAAAGACGTCGTGCCCAATCCGACACTCCAGACGAACCAAACACGAACGCTGCCAACCGGTCAACCCAAGAGTCGTCTGCTGCCTCATTATGCCGATTAAAACCAGGTATGGGACGTATGGAAGTGCCGGCGGGTATGCGAGCACAGTACTCAATCGGGTTGCGCAAGCAGTGAGTGTTCCACCGAACAACAACGATTGCCACTCGCGCACTGTAGGATTTCTCGAAATGCGCCCACTTCTTCACGTAAATGATAATGATGCCTTGAAAAGTTTCCACCGCTGATGTATGAAGAAACTCAATGTAGTACAAGGTGATGTCCGTGCTACATTGCTTCCCCATAACATGCAGAATGAGTTCATACATGTCGTCTTCACGAGAAAACAACGGTAACCGCCCCGCGTCCTCAACCTTCTCACACAGAAGTTGCCTTTCGCCCACGCACCTCGAATGATCGCCTGCCCAATGATCGGCGATCATCATGATATCGTCGTGCAAACTCTCAGCATCACCACCCTTGTCTTGCAAAACTCGTAAGTGTGGAGGAACCACATCCCTACCTCGTGCGCATGGAACTCCATGACATCGTCAGGATCAACAGTAAGTTGCTGGTTGTTCGTAATAGAATCGTATGGGTACATCTTCTGCATCACAACCGCGACGAATTCTGATTTCTTCAACCGCTTTTCCTTCGGTGTCAGAGTACCGGGTCCGAATCGGGCAGTCAAAGCCTCCATCAACTCCTTCTTCGTGAACTGCATAAGTTGTGACTCCGACACGCACTGATGCGGGTTACTGACTTTCTTCGTGGCCTTCAGCTTCAACATATCCCTGAAGTGCTTGCGAATATTTTTTATTTTGTGGTGGCAATCTTTCTGGCACTCAATATTCATGGCTCGCAATTGTGGCCCCAAGGCCGCACAATCATCTGAGACAACGCACCTGATCTTCAACCCTCTTTCGAGCAGGCCCCGCAAAAGTCGCACAACGGCCGACACCTCGAGTGCATTTGACACCTTGCGCTCCGTTTTTTGATGGAGCGTGTGTACACCCACAACAAGGCGAGTTTCGTACTCGATGGGAGTCACAGTGCAATGTTGCGCGGATCTGGCAGAGTCGTACCGTCCGTCAACCATCAGAGTGACTGGCTCCCCACGACGCATGACTATATCTATTGCCAGCTCGCAATATCGCAGTCCTTGCCTGCAAACCTTGGAATTGCACCCCTCCTCCACCTCAACATCAGTGCACATGAACTTATAGAACGTGGGCTTGTGCATCGAGCACAACCCTAACGCAACACATAAGTTATCCAGGAGCGTGTACTTCAATCCTGTGGTGACCGTCACATGATACAGTTGTTCCTGCAATCGAGAGGAGTACACATTTGTGGTCATGAGCGCTGAGTGCCACGCCCATTTGCATCGCCGATCGCATATAAGATCCAACCGACACAACTGCGTAGGATATAATATGGATTCCACGCTTACACGACATGCGCCACCATGAAACAGGCAATACAAATGAAACAATGCCAACAATTGAAGCAGCTTAACCGGCTCGAGGAGTACAACATCTGGTAATTTCGGACCGACCCACAATCCCATCACCTCCTCGACAGAGCCACGGTCAAGGTTGGGACCAAACTGCGACACACCTTCCTCACAATCAGCCCACGTCTGCGGGCTTGTGCGCAAGGGCGCCGTGCGACCTGCGCTGCTCGGCCGACCACGTCCTCTCTCGCTACGCTGTGAACCATGACCCGACCGCGGTAACGAGGTTTGCGAGCCTTCTTGCGACTCCCCAAAAGCACGGCTCCCAGAAGCATCATCGCCCCCCTCAGGGCAGTCGGCACCTGAACCACACTGCGCATATCCCAGCTGAAAATCCGGTCCACACACTCGCGACGGCAATGTCACGGAGATTGCAGCAGCTATGGTGTCGCCGAAAGCGGGCAACGACCAGTGGAGGAGACAATCCACACGTCGCTGATGGGTCCACGGTTGTCTCTCACACCGTACATAGCATCGCGGAGTGCGTACAACCTCCTTCGACAGCCGTCCATCACGCTCACTCGAACAATCTTCGTCGAGGGCCTGGACGAAGATAGAGTGCCACCGATGACCAGTGCGGACTGAACATTGTCCATGGAAGGCGTCGGGCGACATGCGGGAGAGGCTGAGGAAGGCGGCTGCCTTTCTGAAGTGGCCGACATACCGACGATTCCTGGCGCACGTTATGCATCGCCACGTTGTCCCAAAATGGAAGCTCCACCAGCTGCAAATGTCGGGGCCATTGTATGTGTCCAGCTTGGAGCCACAGTCGTGGTCGCCCAGTAGTCCAACCGTCTAGGGAGCAGAGGGGACGGCAGCAACGGAGCAGGTGGCACACAGACCGGAGAACACCCCAACAAACTCGGCATCGACGAACGACGGATGTTCCCCGCTTCACCGATGGCGCCCGTGTATGGCAAAATGTCAACAGGACGCCTTTTCCCCAAACACACATCCTCACGACCACTGTACGGTGACCCTCCCAACACCCCCTGCGCACGGAATGGGGATCGAGTGACATTGACACCATCACTGCGTGCCACCTACGGAGAAGCCACGGGGGTTGTGGCTCGAGCAGAGGAGGTGTCTCCAACAGTCTCCGACATTTCAAATGTAAGAGTCTGCACACACGCGACCGTAAAAAAAAACGCAAAGTGAGGAACGTGTGTGGCCACGTCGACCAAAAAAAACACATGAGAACATCGCCACGTCGAGGTAGCAAGAACTGAAAACCAACGATCATGCGGACAAAAAGTACGATAAATTTCAAAAATGTTGAACATCGACAATGCACAAAAATATATACATACAAAAACCAAAAAAAAAAAAATAATAATAAAAAATTAAAAACAAAACAAAAAAACGTAAAAAGTCGACGACAAAACATAACTTCACAGACGAAATGGAACAGAAGACGGCTCACCAATTCCCATCGCCACCTGGTTTTTTTTTTTTTTCCATCCTTCGCCTCCGATCTCAAATTGTTTTTTTTTT